CGAGTGAGCAATGTTGAGCCACCAAATTTGGTATGTACATCCGCGGCGATGCCGAAAGAAAAGCACGAAGAATTGTGGAAAAATTATGTGAACGAGAGGAGCTGTAAGCGTTTTTCGATTTTAGGTTGCTCCCGCGCAACCTGGGAGCACCTTGAGGTTGCGCGGATCCAGAAAAAATCGTAAATCTTCACAGTTCTCCTTCATCTTCACATAACTTTTCAGATTTTTACATAAATCTATTCCTTAGATTGAGCTCTACATATAAAGGCCCACCTTGACCCAAGTTTCGTCCCCTATTCTTTGTTACTGGTATTGAAGATATAAAAACAGCCTTTTTTCCGCATTTCGCTCTTGAGGTTTGATGTAGTCCTGTCTTTTCTTCACTTCACTTCACTTTTTCTCTTTGCATATCCTTAGAGCTTCTACAAACGCTACAAAAGCTATAACGTAATTTTCTGCATCAAAGGGGAGTCGTTTTTGAGTTTCTCATTTGCCACCTCGAGCTGGGCCCTGACCGGATAATATGTGAAACCAAGAGCATCTTCTCGGCTTTTTAGCAACATACCGCTGCCACTAAAGCTTCTAATTGCAAGTGCCTTTCTTGCTGCTAAAAAGGCATTTTTTGTCATAACAGTATTTCCCCTAATTTCGAAGAGTGTAAGCTTACTTTGATATTACTTTGATAGTCTTAGAGAAATTATGTATTGAAGGCACATTGGATTCTCTTTAATCAAAAACTCTGATCTCTTCCCATTTCTAGCTGTTTTTAAGGATGCATGTTATAAAGTAGTAGGATAAATTTGCCGCAGAACGCAAAACATGTCTAACTTCCCAACGGACATGGTATATGTAGATTACTTCATGGCCATCGGCGGCTCAAACGGCTGACTTTCTACATCTTGGAAAGAAATATAAATGACATCTCTATTCGTCTCTCATTTTATTTATTGTAGAAATGGCAAAAAATAAATTGAGGTTTAATTATTGTCATTTCTGCAATAAGTAAACATCAATTTTAATCTGAGAAAAAAACTAAAACTGTTAAATGAAATTCGAAGAGCGGAGATAAATCAGTGAAAAAGTAAGTTTTGTTCCGGTTTTTGTGAAGTTGAGATTAATCGAGACAATTTTGAACTTAACAACAGTATATAAGATGTACTGCATTCGCAACAATTACTTGCTTTTCTGGATTGTTTCACAACTGTAATGCCACTTGCTTTTGTCGCTAATGAAAGACGTAGTTTGCAAATAATCTAGTTTATAGCTACTTGAAAAAACTTCAGCTTTTGAGTGATAAATTGTCTCTTTTTAATCTCATGAGATCATCCTGAGTTCTCTAAAGAGTAGCGGGTTTTCCATAATCCCTTCATATAAGATGTTGATAAGTCAGCTAGTGGTTCAAGAGCGCTAGAAAACAGTGCCTAGTTTTCAAGCGTATGGTCGTAGAGTTCACCTCTGTTCGTCCATGATTCTGGACCTTTATTTTGGCTAAATCGCAGAACTAAACAACTAATCTAAAACCGTCAAGAAACATTTGGCTTCCAGCACTTACATCGGACTTATGTGAGTTTGACTGCTAACAAACGAAAGCAAAAAACATGATTTCACTGTTTGGACATAGTTCTCTCACATTCAGCGTATACAGTTCGCGAAATTAACCAAGTCAGAAAATTCAAACTTGCAGTAGCAGAATCTCGCCGCCATCCCTGCTGCTCATGACTCTCATACCCCTGATATGTACAGCCATGAATCCGGTAACCTTCACTCTGAGCTACATAAGACAACAATAACAAGGTTTTTGTGTATCGATCCGTGGAAATAAAGATGGTTTCCCGACCTTTCTCATACTGTAAATGAGTTGAGATTGCGAAGGCTTTCAAAGTAAAGACGAAAACCTGCACTTCAATTATGCGCTAGAGTCGTGCACAGTATGGTGGTTTATTTAAGAGTATTGAGTCGGCGTCGTTGTCAGTGCTTAGTCGTCTCAAGACGAGCAGATTGATATACTGATTAATAATGTTCGGAGTTTCACCGGAAATCCGGGAGATCCATGACCAGAGCAGAATACTTCACCGATCTGCTCCTCAAGCTCTGCTAGTGAAATATGTAACTGTAACTGTTTGAAGTCAGAAATGTGGTAGTAGCACCAACCAGCCGAACAAGGTAACCAGCACTCGAAACAATTTCCTTCTTGCCGCAGGTGCCTCTAGCAAATGCATGGAAAGATTCCTAGAGCAGAAGTGCTTCACATGTTTTATAGCCTAATACGAATACTTTTGCAGTTATGAATTGCACCGTAATAATTTAGCTTTAACATTTTTACGACCTACTCGTTCACCACTACGGCACTGCCTTCTCTTCTTTAGCTCACTGCTGTCTCTAACAACATAGTGTTTGCAACAGGGCAAGACGTTTCTGTCATTTTTATTACCTGAAGTGGGTGAAAAATAAAATGAACAAGGCGATAACGTTGCGACGATCGTACAAAATTTTTAGTGGAAAATTTTCTCAATGCAAGACATTCATACAACCGTACAAGAATATGTTTTGGTATTCGATTCAGTGATTGTCTTCGAAGTATGGCGGGTTGGCAGTGTGAGAGGCGTAGACGGTTTACTGAGGGGGTGATATGTTCGAGGTGGTTGGGGGATTGGCGGGAAGGTCTGATATAGCTGGTTAGTTATTCCAGAAACATGCGTCGAAGGATAGCCTGCCCTGCTGGGGCAAAGAAGTGTGTGATGATCTCGGCCACACGTGGAACAGTAAACGCTATTCTTACGCTTAGACCTCAAACACTTCCGGAACAGATTGAGTACCGCCATCTCTACTGCTCGAATCATGAGGTGATGACTGAATCCGGACCAGAAACCGTCATGATGTTGCGGAGAGTAAACTGCGTTCGTAGAATGGTTAGTGTTGAGATTTAGTAATGTCGAACTATGCGACATGGCTGCATCAACGGCGTTGTGCAAGTGATCCAGATTTATGTCGAAAGAATCAATGGCCATTTGTATAGCATGGAAAGGCTCGTCTCCGAGTAGAGCGATAAAGTCGAGGAACATCACCGCTGGTTTACATCTGTGTGCTTTATATGCACTTTCGATATCAATCGCTTCTGCTGCTTCCCTTTTTCAATTTGTACTTTTTTGCACTATGCACTTAAGCAGTCTCCAGACGTCTTTTTGTGAATTATTCGTTTTACTATGTACAGCTACGTAATAAGGGTTTTGCTAAGGTACTATTGAGCAGCTAATAGATTTTAAAACATTAGCGTCTCTCACAAGGGGAGGATACTTGGTCGAAGTAGCTTCTCCATATGTGATGTATAATTCTCTGGAACATAAAACGCTGTTTCCAAATCTGCTTTCCTCATCTGCAAAGCGCTTTTGGGACGTGAGTTCTGGGAATTTTTTGAGGTAAAAATAAAAATACAATAGTTTGGCTAAGATAAAAACAGTGTTGCGATCTTTTCGGCGCTTGAAAGGAATAATGACGCATGAGTATATTATATTGAATTAATTAATTAATTATTATATTAAAGGTGTTAAAGGTATTTATTGCATGAAAGCCCCTAGTATTAATCCTGGCCCCATATGAGCTCACAGACTAAAGTTTTGAATGATTTTATTGTAACCACACTTTCAAATTTTTGCATGAAAAAATTCTCATTACTCTCCTCCCAGAAGCACCTTGCAGTAAGGAAAGCAGATTTGAAGACAGCGATTTATGCTCTATAAGATAATGTACATTCCATATGGAAACTCCACTTCGACCAAGTCCTTTCTGTCAGAAAAAGGCTGTTGAACCTTCCGGACTAAGATGTGATGTTCCTTTTCTAAAAGAATTTTTCCAAAATCTCTTAACTGCTAGCAGAAAAATCTGTTGCGATTATTCTCGTGGGATTGGCTACGGAACTATACAACTATTTGGAAGCGCTGCTGAATCAAAATTTTTAGTGTCCTTTTATAGTATAACACTCAAACTGAACGTGTTCTATCGATAAGAAAGTGCAACAATGAACCGATATAATTAGCCACTATATAGACCACTTTTTGCTTGAACCAAGCATTTTTATCTTGTTGCAGAGTTTGCAAAAAGAGGAGCAATCGCCTGCACTCTAAGATTTTTGTGTTTCGTGTGTTGACTTTTCTTCAAATGCGAGGCTGTTTCAAGATAACGCGATCATAATGTGTTAGGACGCTTATGGCATTGATGGGAATTAGCCTTCACACAAAATGGATGGCCGATGTTTTTTCCCTGATCCATAACCGAGAAATCTTTCGGCACCCTCTCCGCTAACGTTCAAAGCTGCCGTCATGGACAGAGTCCCGTTTCCTTACTATTAGTGCCAATAAACTCCCAGACGCTTGTGTGACCATAATCGAGATTTGCTTGTACAGGACTCATACACGATTCATTATACGCAAAGACTAAGCGCCGTTGCGTCTGGCAAGGATACTTCGTGCTTGGGAGGGACACAGATGGTAAGAGAAGCGAAAGAGCGCTCGAGAAAGCCGCAGATGTATCCGCAGTTTCTGCGTGCTATGAATCGCCTATAACCGCATTAGTCAAAGTTTGGGTCACCCAGTAACGAATAAAAACATCCTGAAGTTCAATAGGTGGGAAGTGGAATTTCCACAGGCTACGTAAAATGGATGGATGTTACATCATTATTATATTCTACATTCACAAAACTCCGCAGCAAATTTCGATATGACTGGCGCTTTTGAAAAGTTGGTAAAGCCGTCAGGATAATGTGTCCCAGGACCGAGGAATATTTTCTGGAAAAGAACTTTCCTCTTTTTGCCTGTTTTGTACTAAAACTTGTTGTTTCAACATATTTTTATTGTTCAGTTTCCATCCCTGAGCTCGTGGCCCAGCCACAATTCCGCCCTTCCCATCAAGCCATCTGGCTGAGAGTTCCGCTTCCTTGGACTTTTTGATGCAACAAGAATACGCCTTTTTGTGACATGAGAGAAGGGAAAATGGCACTACTCTAACCATTTTCGTTGGTAGGAAATAAAAATCCCGATTTTCAGTTTCTTCGCAGACAGCAGCTGGATTATGTGGCCAAATGATAATTTGCGCGCTAATCCAATCTGAGTTCATGAATTTCAAAAACATTTCATTTTTTTCATCTTCCTTTGCATTTCATTTCATTTTCAGTTCAATCATTCAGCTTTCTCCAAAGAGGTGAAGCCAATTTTTAGGGGACTTGTTGTGAACGAACCCATGTACAGTTTGTGCACGACTTTTTCGACCTCATGGATCTGACGTTATGGAGATTTTTGAGTCCAAGATTGACGAGCTAGTATCGCTTCGCGATGGATACTTCGAAAAGTACCCAGATGGAACAGAGGTGGAAAGAGTGAAGATTGTCAGGGAGAAGGCTCTGCTTTTACTTGAGGTGTGTGTTTTTGTTTTTCATTTTGTTTATCATTTTGGATTAGAGCGGGCGTACACTATATTTTATCCTTTATTCGTGATTTAATATGCATGTTGCACTGCATGCGCGCTAATCAACTTGCAAATTAGAACCTGCTCATTTATAGTGTTTTTTCCTGTTTATATATTGAGCGGAAACAGACGGTGGGATTAGCGCTGGTTATTCATGAAGAAGTTTCAACGTTTTACATCTCAAGGTAAAGATGTATATAAGTCGCTCTTAATTTGGTTGGATCCACATCTCCGATCCGGACGGGCAACTATGACACCTCTTTGGGTCTGCAAGTGTGCGCTCGCTACCGATTTTTACGCACAAGTGATTTTGGCAGTGTTGCTCTATACCGTCATCAAAATTCACTATATCAGGATGTACCACTATCGGAGTTTCCTCGCTCTGCCGAACGCTATCTTCAGTGTGGGCGGATTCTGAACGCTTGTGTAGCGTACGACCCGCGTTGCGAAGAGTTTCTTAGCAAAGCAGTGAAACTTGGTGTGTCTAGATCAAAAGGTAAACTATTTCTCTATATGACTTCTTCCAAAATTTGCAGATCCAGATGCTCTGGCTTGGTTAGAACTTGGAATCTGCCTTTCTAAGAAACCTGACATACAGTTTGCGATAGAATGTGTTGAGGTAGGAGTTAGCTTCCTATCAAATAGCCATGATATGCATTTTTTAGTGCAGTTTGGAACTGGAGCGTACATCACGCGCCTTGTACACACTTTCAATGCTTTTGCGAGCCAAGCTCATGAATACTTCTGATCCTGCTGAGAGAGTTGAGCTAAGGTGAAGTTTTGCACTTTTCTCGCTTGCAAAGGAAAATGGGTTAGGGTGGCTCTGTAGGATAATATACTATTTTGATGGGCATGAAACCTAAATGTGTTCTTAATCTGATTGCGGCATCAGGATGAAGTGAGTCATAGACAAGTTTGAATACATTCAAACAAGTCTCTCCGCATAAAGGTCTTTTTACAAGTGTTACTGCGTCATTTGAGCGCTGGAAAGTTGTTCTGACAGACTTTTTCCAAGTGCGAAGTCAATTTTTGTTTATAAACGCTCATAACAGAAATGATAAAGCAGATATCAATGTGCTTTGTGCCCTTCAAGACAGTATACACCCATCACAAAAGGCCACTTTGACTAATCTTCTTTTCCTTGTTAGATGTCATCTCAACTACACACTTTTGGTAGTTAGTATAGGCACATCCGCATTATGAGTTTTTTCAGGAAGAAATCGTCACAGTTGGCACATGAGGCAGTTGGGTTAGATCCAGATTCTGGCGCGGCTCATTCTTGTCTCGGTAACTCATTGTTTCTCGAGTTTTTCAACACTGGCCAGATGGACTCCAATCTGTTGGTAAGCCTGAGCGTTATAAAGCAGCCAATTAGGGTTTATATGTAAAAAACGTGCATACTTTCGACTACGAATAGGGCATCGGCTACGAATAGGGCATCTCAAAAAAGCTATTTTGGCATACTTATTTGCAGAGTCAAGCATGCGACGAGTATCGTTTAGCTCTTCGGTGCGGGAAAGAATATCGCAACGCAGACCTGCATCTAAATGCTGGGGCTGCCTTTCGGTGCGTTTTTCAGAAGCTCTGTTGAGCCCTTTCTGAAATCCTATTTTGTAACAGTTACGAGGAGAATTATCCTGAAGCCTTGGAGCATCTCCAGCTGGCAGTGAAGTATGATCCAAGTGATGTTATTGGCTCACATAGCCGATTAGCATCACTCAACCATTTCCTTTCCAGTATCGCAGCTGGCGTTCAGAATACAGGTAAATTCTCAAACCAGTACTTCCATTTTTTCATTTCGTTTTTTCTTGAATTCTTGCAGTTCATTCCGAGATAATGAGTTGCAGGTGGCTTACGAGCAAAACGGATTGCGGAATATAAAGCAAGTCTTCCTGCCAATCTTTCTTCAGTAAACCCTTTTACTGCCAGTCGGGTTGTTACAACTTTCAATGAGCTGAGTGCTGGAGCTAATCCTGGTGTAGCTGTCGTAGCAAGAGTTGTATCTACGATTGCACATGACGAAGGAGTTCCTGTGTATGTTTTTTCTCCCTTCTCAAAAGTTGGGGCTGTCAATCCCGTATGTGATGTTTCAGCGCCTCGATTATCATGGACGTAGAAGGCGATTGCGTGGCGCTTTGTGTATACAATTGTGCCCAGACGTTCTCTTTTTTCGTTGGTGATACAGTCGCAGTAGCCGATCCTCATGTTATAGAAGTGAAGGTAATTGCTTTTATCACTTGCACAGACGGCATATACAATCACCTCAAATCTCTTTGCTAGGATTTGGAGTTGCCGAATTCTTCAAAGATCTCGTTCCGTTCGATCCGAGTGCCAAATCCTTCGAAGGTGTCACGAAATGGAAACCTTCCAAAACCGACACAAATGGCTCCATCACATCTGAAGATCTCTGCTTTATAAGCTTTGCAATTGTAAATTTTGTTCAGTATGAATGACTTCTAGTTATTTTACTTCCTTACAACACTAGACCAGTATCCAGAATTGGCTGTTAGAGTGCTGCAGCTTTCTTGTCTTCAGTGATTGCTATTCCTGTATTCCCGCGCTTAAAAAAATACGATTTAGAAAAAAACCTTGGTTTTGACTGGGTTGTACCAGTGACAATAAGTGTATTGCGCTTTGCAAGTGAAAATCGAGTATAAAATAAAACAGGGGAGAGCAACAATTCTGGAACCTAGCAGTAATTTCTGTGGAGCAATTGAGTTTTGAACATTCATAGTAGAGGCCTCGGAATTTGTTCTTTTTTGGACACGTTTATAAGTAAAATGTGAACATTCTAGAAAGTTAATGAAACTAGAACAGGAAAATTTTATGTTTCGTTAGTTTTCATGAGAATCCAATACTGCGATTATCGACTCACAAGGGGAGTGTCAAAGTCGCAGTGGCCTTTCGACATGACATACCATTTGATTCAACTGGCTTAACTTGGGAAGGCGGGGCTTCGTGACCTAATTAAGGCTAGGTAATGATCCGAGAGCACTTGCGCGAGAGAGAAGCAGTTGCGTCGCGGGCGCGAGCGGCCTTGGTTAAGTCACAAAGCCCCGCCTTCTTGAAACCAAGCCAGCTGAATCAAAGGTTAGATATCATCTAAAGCAGCTTGAGACGCTGATTCCAAAACAACTTCCTTTAGCTCCAGAACCAATCTGGATCGAGATTTATGGGCATTTTAATCACCAAATTTTACATTGTTTAGAGTATACCCCGTGGTCATGGAAGTTGTTCATATGCTTCTTCAAACATTACAGGATCACATTGAGGAAGGAGTAGAATTTAATTAAGCAGTGATAAACAGTTCCATCTTGTCTAAGTCCGTTCTTTGTTTAAGTCCAAAATCCATGGACTTCGGTAGTGTTGGCTATTCTCAGCATAGTAAAACTAAATTCCCCTTAAACTAAATTCACTGACTCCCGATCCAGATTGTTCTGCAGCTAAAAAACGCTGTTTTGGAATCAGCATTTTAAGCTGTTTCAGATCAATCTTATATTGAAAGACACTGCGACTTCTGACACTTTCCTTGCCAGTTGCAGCTTCGCAGTCTCGGCTGCAAAACTTACTGTCAGCCAAGTGGCGGTCCTGGATTTTTTTTCCAAGGCGTGGGCGCGACAAAATTTTTCAGATGAAGGGCCCCGAAATTAAAAAAGCTTGTAGCTATGTCGAAAAATCTTTTTTGACAAAGTTGAGATGAATTTTTGGAAATTCAGAAAATTATTCAATTATTTTGACTAAAAAAAGTCACTTGCACAATCTTTATATAAGTGGACACCTCAAGAAATTACGTGACCCCTTCCCTTTTTGGTGGAGGGAGTGAAGCGGTTCGTCGACGGCAATACCTCATACCTCATGCAAATGGCGTTATATTTCAAAACGAGTTTTTTATCCAAAAATTGTCTAGGCTGAGCAGATAACTAGATACACCAGCGGCGGCGGGGGAGGAGGGGGGGGGGGAAGAAAAGCGCAGTGAAAGTTTTTGTTTCAAATGACACTCCGAAAAAAATTTTGGGGTGCTTCTCGAAATTTTTACAGGCTCACAACCCTTAGAATCTAAAATAAGGAAGCGTGACGGCAGCCATGCCTTGAAACAAATTTTTTTCACAAGGCTAATTTGAATTTTAAAAAATTTTAAAAATTATTTACAAGAATGTACGGGTCATTTGCACATTTATAACCCATGTAAGTAGATTACAAAAATCTCGCCACCCATTCTTGGGGAAGGGGGGAGGAGGGGGAGCGCCCTCCAGTAATTAATTGATGAACTGCTGCAACTGAATTGAAGAGTCTAGTCGCCAGCCAGTGTAAAGTTTATCTCTCCTAATGATAAGCGAAACAAATGCAAAGAGCCACGATTGTTTACGGTTCCTTTAGTTATTTGCAACATCAGCACATAAAAAAGCTGATTGTTGTAAAGGGTGGTGACCGCAGGCGGAATGTTTTGACTTGACAGCGGTGACAGAACTGCGACGGAACGTGTTTTCAACTTGAAGCGCACTCTATATAAACTTCTGTAAACACCGTACTGCATTCATTTGTTCATTGTTAAAGTTCTTCTCTCACTTATCTCTACCCGGTAGAATTTTTCTATTGTCAGATGGAGGAAGAGAAGCGAGCCGCGCTCCTACGGGATTCGCAGCGACGAGCGTCCGCGATTCGCGCAGTCGCAGTTGCGACTCTTGCCGTGACAACATGCATGATTACGCTTCCGGTCGTATTCACTCGCTTGCAGGAGGTTGACACCAATGTTCGAAGCGAGTTGGAGGAGTGCATGGTAGGTTCTGTCATTCTCGGGTTCTAAATATTTCGAAAATATCGCAAAAGGGGTGCTTCAACATTGTCAAATGATGGGATTTAGCACTGAAAAAATGATGATGGAAAAAGAAATTTTTCTCGAAGTTTTTTCATGTGAAACAAAAATAATTCTTATTCTCTAAGATGACAACCACTTCATAAATTCATTGCGATAAGATGAAAAAGGTAAAAGTACTAGTCTCACCTGTGAGCCAGTAAAAGTGTGTACAGTCAATTAACCAAAATGGAATGCTGTGTACTTGCACAACAGCAACATGTACAGTAGGCTACGACTCTGAACATTGATTGAGGAAGAAAATTTAGCCACAGCTTCCAAACAGGTTTTAGCTCAAATATCATCAAATAAATGCTAAAGAATCAAATAAAATCTTAAAAATAAATGTTCGAGCATACTCGCGTGTCTATGCAATTTCTACGAATAAAGTGTGCGATTGCAGACATCTCGATTTCATGCGCTCGACTATAGTCATAACCTGACCATTTTCAGTTGGCATCGCGTAATCTTCTACGTCAAGTAATCTCTGTCAAGCCAGACGCCCAGATTAGAACCACCGCTAGCCATGCTGTGCGCGAGAAGAGACAGGCATCTGGTTCGTTAATTTTTGATCGGGGAGTGCAAAAATTTCAAACGGCGAATTTCAGGCTGTTGTACCTGCAACCGCGGACCACCTGGTCCACCTGGTCCTTCAGGAGTTGATGGTACTGATGGAGTTGATGGAATGACGGGAGAACTCGGCGCTCCAGGCCCTATGGCAGTCGAACCACCAAAGTTAGTTGTGCAGTCACAGAATTCGTCCTAGACATGGAACAGGGCAGCATACAGCAGGGATATGCAGTCCTGCTTCCCTCTCAGCTGATGAAACCTTTTTACATGGGACATCTTTCAGCTACCGTATGTCCCAAGTCAGACAATGCCCTTGCGAATCACCGGGAGGTCCCCCTGGAATACCCGGACCCCGAGGACCGCCTGGACTACCTGGAGAAGGAGGTGAACATCCCTTGGACTTGCTTACATAGCTGTGACACTTCTGAAAGGAATGATTTAGGAGCACCTGGATCACCTGGAGCCCCAGGTACACCAGGAGAAAATGGTCAACCCGGTCGACCTGGGCCACCAGGACAAAATGGAGAACCTGGACCACGAGGACCTGATGGAGTTGTTCGCCCCGGAGGTGGAGGAAATCCTGGACCAACTGGACCACCAGGAGACAGAGGAATGGACGGACCAAAAGGACCACCTGGCCTACCTGGAGAACCTGGTACGCTCTTGTCACAAAATTTATTAACGCATGATCATTTTTCTTTGCTTTTAGGCGCACCCGGAGAACCCGGAATACCAGGAGCACCAGGAAGACCTGGACAAATGGGACAACCTGGAAGAGAAGGAGCACCAGGAGAAGTTGGAGGACAAGGTGCTCGTGGATCTTGCGATCACTGCCCACCTCCAAGAACCGCTCCTGGATATTACCTCTAAACTGGATCGAAACTGGAATAAATGCATTAGACACTCATTTCTGGTTCAAACACGCTATACAAATGCTTGAAAAGTATTTGGAACAAAAGAAGCCAATTATGGCAAATTTTAATTTTAAGTTACTTAAATCAATAATCACCTTCTGTGAGAAAGAAGTTTTTCCGGACTGAATTTTGTAGCTGGATACATGCTCAAAAACATAGAAAATTCATCGGGTTAACTTCTGCTGCAAATCAGTTCTCTTAGGTCACTTAACTCGGCAAGCAACATTTACGGCGAGGATTATATTCAACGCATCCATCACCAAACTGTTTTTCAAAAATTATTATGTCGACATAAGTTCATATGGGAAAAAACTTTACAACTTCCTTAGAAAGTTTCTCTTCACTTTCAAGTTACGCGAAAGATTGTAACTTTTTTGTGCATGCAGTCGCACACGATCATTTCAATTCCTAGATTTTTTAAAAATTTTCGTTCTTCTTGACAAATTTGGAATTTGCTTGTTGAAGAGCTTGAGCTTCCGAACCGCCTTTGTATTACTAGCGATAATTCCGAAGTACATAGAACTGGAAGTATTGAAAAAAAAGGAGAATCTTTGTAGAAAAGAAAGAAAAAAAATGAAGGTGGGCGCTAGAGCTGTAAATTATGTCAATGGATGTCCCTTTGTCTCTTCCTCATGCCAAATGTGAGTTGCCAGAGTTTTTGAAATTTTTGGAAGTAATTGAGCAAAAGTGTTGTCGCTGCCTCGAAACGATCCACCACTGGGCCGTATAGCCCATAAATAGTGATTCTGGAAAACTTCTACAGCGCATATGCACAATCTTTGGCAAGAGAGGGTGCTAAATGTACTTTTCAAAGCAAAATTATTACACACACTTGGCGTCGTACGGTAAGGCTATTGCAGTGTACGTCAAGAAGTGTAATACACATAAAAATAATTGTGTATGGAGTTATTGTAAGCCTTTGTTGCAAGAATTACATCCAATTTTTGCAATTGTACCTTTACAAATCAGCTCAGCCCTACCTGGCAGCTCCAATAGGAGTGTCCCACGGAAGTTTTAGAAGTTCAATTTTCCCCGGAAGTATTTTGCGGATTGTCTGAGCATGTGTAAGATCAAAAGGGCGAAATTGGAGGTTTACAAATCAGACATCGATCTACTAGTAACAGCATTGTCATAAATGTCAATCTTGTTTCAAAGAGATAAATTTATTATCAACAAATAAATTTTGCTAAAAACAAGATATAAATCTGACTGAAATACAACCTGACGACCAACACCAAAATACCGCACAGCAGCATCAATCTGATTCCAGTCTAATCAGAATGATCACAGGAACTTCTCACAACAATTACATCAGAGACAATCACCGCATTTGATTAGTAACGAAGATGCTTTAAGCATGTCCTAAGAGCGTGCAAGGTGTTTAGCTGCTAATTAATATATTGCACCGAAAATAATGCACAAAAAGGAATGGCAAGGGGCTCAGTAAATACAGTGACTGAGAAATTAGAATAGTTTGTGCATAGCTCAATCGAGCTTCAGCTTGGGAGCATTCACAAATTCTTCGCCATTCAGGAAGATGAACATCATGCATACCAAGAATACTCCAAACCAAAACAGCGTTGCTGAGATATTCTCTGAAAAGATACAACTAATCCAGTATCATTTTTCTGCTTTTACGACATACTAACAAAAGCGATACCGAAAAAGCTTAGGCAGGATTTCTCTGCAAAGTGCATGCAAAATCAAAACATGATAGATGATCAAGGTAAGGAAAAAAGTGCACCAACCTGCGACTAGAACACAAAGTATAGTCATTGCCATAGCAAAACTCGCAGCTAAGAGAGCAATTCCGTTTTGATCCAGTGATATTAATGCAGCTTCCAAGCTAGACGGCAGATTATCAACATCTATTACATAATTTCCCAAGAAAACATCCATGGCATCCTATTTGGAGATGATCCTTTCGATGTTCAGCAGAATGAAACAGAAAAACGCACTTGTCTGTACCCATCAGCAAAATTATTGCGAAAATATCGTGTTACGGCATTAATCCCATCATTTATGGCACCAGTATAAGTTCGTTTCCCAAGTCGAGTAAAGTCAGCCTGAAAGGAGTTGGATTCACATACCATCCGAATCATCATTATTATCGACGAATGATGCAAGTAAAAAATACTTAAAATGTGAAAGCACTAGCTGCGTGAAATGATGTATAAAATTGAGTTATTACCTTCAACGCTCCAGTACCCGCATATTGTCGGCTACACTCGTCTCCATTATCCGCCCAGACTGAAAAGAAAAAACATTCTCATTGACACAGAAGGTCTGTGTGTGTCAACTTACTATGCTTGAATGACGTTTCAAGGTCTTCACAGGTTTCTACTCTTTGGCCGGTATTCAATATTCCTAAGTAATATAGCTGGTCGGTTAAGGACTCCCGTGCGATCAAAGCTTGTACCACATTAGTGCTGGAATGACATTACCTTGAAAATGGAAACTTCTTTAAATGTTTGATTGACAGAAGCAGATACAGACTCGTATGCGGCTTACTGCAACCTATCGAAAAAAAACGAGAAACAAAAAAATGATTAGCACTGTGTAGCTCACTTTCTAAGAGGAAGACATCTGTTGTAAGCTTATGAAACGATTTTGTAAAGTGAATCAGATAAGATACTTTATATCACGTCAGTGTCCACATCACTGTCGTTTTTTGAAGGCTTGTAATGGCCTAATCCTTGAGTTGTCTTGAAAATTCGGGGTTATAAAGGCAAACATTAAGAGCCTAAGCTTAACGATTATATACGGGAGAAAGGACAATCATTTGGAAGCAGCAAATTTTCAACTATTTCGTCAAAGTATGAGAGAAACCTCGTAGAAAAAGTCGTAAACGTAGTTTAGATAATGATCAAATCGTACCGATCTAAACAATCCATGCAGTTGGTTCTGAAGAAACCTGTTTGGTACCTTTGAGTAAAGTCCGCTTCAGCCAAAACATCAGACGCAGCGAAAAATCTGAAGACGATTATTAGAAACAAGAGATAGCGAGAGTTACTTACCCAAACTGAGTAATTTCCTGTCGTAGCTGATCCCTTAACAAAGATAGCCTATGCCACTGCATAGCATGACATTCCTTGTGGAAGTCAAATGGATTATACCTAATATCGTTTTATAAAAAGAGAATATACCGAAGAGAAGCTAGTACTAGAACAAACCTAACATAGCTAAGATTAGCTTGCTGTACAATTCTTTCTAGTTCGCTACCGAGTTTTCTCTCTCGTCCAACTTGGTTCACAAGATTGACAATAACCTATAAAATCTCAAATTAGCAAATTGGCAGCGGCTTCCGAAATAGAACAAACGGCTCACATGGACGCCGCCGTAGTGTTTCTTTTGATTTTCGAAATGTCGGACATATGCGGTCAACTGATCATCACTGGCCCTCATCGTGGGCATGGGCTGCCATTTCAGATTCGGTTTTTGAGACCAAAGAAGCGGGATGGATCCGCGCATCTTAAACTTTGCAGAGTGAGAAGAGAAACGAAAAGCTTGGATTTCTACGATATACCTGCAAGAAGGATGTCAGTCGCCGTCCTCCACCGGAAATAGTCTCAACAATTTGCTCGGTTTCTACAAAATTAGCAGGATGTCCGTCTGAGCTCACTCCACGCTTGTAAAAACGCACACCAGCCCTAAAGCCAGCCTTGAGAAGAAGATTAAAAAAGCGAAAGCAAGCATACCTATACTTGCTCCGTCTCGAAATTAGTGACAATTTGAACTGATGTCCATTTATACAATGAAGGACTTCACCATAGAATCCATGGATAATGGGTAGAGCAAATTTCTCGTACTAAAACTTTGACTAAGCAACGATCACTCAATAATAACTCTCACTCGATTACCCGAGGGACCCGTCATGCTTCGCCGAGAAAAACCCAAAAGCGCCCGAAAAAGCCCAAAAGCGGAAAAAGCTCAGAAAAAAAGCCGGAAAAGCCCGAAAGAGCCGGAACGCAGAAGCGAACTTTTGATAGAACTGACATTATTTTGATGCGCAGACGACAGAAATGAAGCAAAAAGACTCGGTTGCAAAATCAACACACATGCCCTAGCGTCAAAACGGAAGAGTGGCAGACTTCTTTTTTTGGGCTTTTCGGGCTTTTTTCGGTGAAGTATGACGGGGCCCTTAGCAAGCAATAGGAGATGTATTGTTTAAAAAAAAAAACAAGATGTCAAATCAGAGGCACAGAAAGATAACCTACGCCTTTCACAGCACGAAGTTGAGAAAGGAGGAATGCGTTCCAAATAAATCGATCATCAGCCTGAAATCAGTATTTTAAAAAGACCTATATTGAAAAGATGTTCACCAACTCGATCGACCATGGAGGTTTCCTTGAACTCAGGTGTACCATTTTCGCTTAACCATTGTAGTGAACGAGACAAGTCTATAGAGTAAGAAAAATAGAAACCAGGTACAGCAAGTACACTTTGCAACATTTCAGTGAAATGCCGATTATACCATATCTGAAAGCTAATGTCTGATTCTAAAAAACAAACATGGAATGAACTTACTTGCTTTTCCGTTAAATGCAACGTGGTTTTCTTGTAAGGTATAACGTCTGTTTCGGTTATAATATAGATTGGATGTCCATTTAGGTTTCCGACCAAGCGTGATTTCTTTATGACTATCAATGCCATTCCTAAAGAAGGATCGCAAATTCAATCGCCCAGAATACGAAGCTCGGCTTCCACATAAAACCATGACATCACAAAAGCAAAATGTACAAAGCTCTCACCAAATTCAAACATACCTGAGACAATTGGAATAATGCCTAGTAAACCGTGAATATATTGAATATCAGCATCCGTTAATGGTATCCGATGCTCTACAGTATCTACAACAGCAAAGCATGATGTGACTTAAGGTGAACGTGAAAAAGACTTACTTGAGACTCGTATTTGATTGGTATGACGATCTATTTCGAGGTATTGCTGTGATAAAAGATTTCCATCGCGGTCGCGAGGTTCCAGATAGAATTTTTCAGGCAATGTATACCTAAAGCGAATTGATAAGTTCACATATAAGGAGGTGAAAGCTCCTGAATATCAGGTGAAAATAAATGCTATAGGACAAAGACCATTGCGAGGTAATGGCTTCTTTGCTACCAAGAGGTACTAATCGTACTCCTCGCGAAAATCAAACTTGGTTTACAAGACCTATCCATGATATACAAACTTGAAAAATGAGCGCATTACCCTCAATTTGCGAGTTTCTCGTAGGAGATAACTAGGGATGTACGAATGAGCAGGATAAAGGTCCACGGGTGCAAAAGGTTAATGATGCCAGAAGCGCAAAGCCCACACTGCTGAGGGGAAACGCGAATACACTCTCCCATTTTGAAGCACAACACAAATTCTTTCCCCCACCTTCTCTACAAGCTTGGTAAATTCCTTCTAGACTTGTCGCAGGATCACACGCAAACACGAAACCAGTCTTGAAACACTTGTTCACATAGAGATGAGACCTTCGAACTAGGGGTTTCCTGATCAATCATGGGGGCAGTGGCGTACCGAAGGGGGGGGGGGACTTGTTTATACTGTAGATAATTAAAATAACTTTCTAAATTTTTTGAAAATTCAATTTAGTCTTACAAAAAAATTTTTTCGGGGAAATTTGTAGCTAGGGGCCCGCAAAAATTTTGGGAAGCATACCGAAAAAATTCTTCGGATGGCTGACTCCACGCACCTTCACCAGAAAAAGATTTTTGTCGCCCCCTCCCCCGAACGGAAATCCCGGGTACGCCACTGGAGCATACCCATCCTGCATAGTATCTGACTTTACGCTAGATGTGACTTTCTAGGAAGTGACGTCCCAAGACAGAAAGGGAACAAAAGTCAATATCAATTCACAAAGACGTACCATTCTACAATTTAATCTTATCTTTGAAGCAATAAAGTGTACATTTGAAAATGAAAAAAGGTAAGTTCATAACTCACAAATTAAAGCCATCATAGATGTCTGTAGACATCTGATAGTAAGAAGAGCTTGGGCCGTAATCGAACTCCAACTTGACTAGTGTAAAACACGATTACAGAAAAAAAGTATGAATACCCTGTAAATAGTATTATTGCTAATTCATTTATGATGAATCGATTGAAGGTGAACTGAAAAGGGCCTTGAGAACGGAAAGTTCAAACAAACAAATTATGCATGCAGAAAGGAAGTATGAAGAACGGTTGCCCCGATACGCCGCGATAAAGGACAACGTGGCGCTCACGCGATTCACAAGGGGAGTCCGATGATGAAGAGTTTAGGAAGAAGGTCAAAGAAGAAAATGTGAAAATATAAGTGTACAAGTAGACGCAAGTCATAAGAAAGGTTGGTGCATGCATGTTGAGCAAGTTGTATAATTTTTTTTGGTAGATATGGAATGTAAATGAGAAGAAGATTTCATCAGTAGAACTGCAGATGCAAGTGTAAGGAGAAAAAGAGTAGAGACTGCAACTTGATTAGATATTCAGCGAGAGATCGCAACCCAACAGCTGTCAGCTATTGATTCTGCGAATCATAAGAGACAAAAAGAGGCAAGTAGAACACTTGCGAAACAGAACTCGCAATGACAACTGACATTTGCCACGACAATCAGACGCATTATAAGAATGTGTGACTCTCGGCGCGTAAGAACTGTAAGGCCAACAAAGTGAATTTGCACTCACGCGGGAACAGTAGAAATAATTGCTTTAGAAAAACACAAGGTCAAAAGAGATGATTTAGAGAATCGCATACTTCGAAGTTTCTAAATGTAGAAAAAAGCAGTGGCATTACAGCGAACTCTCCAAGAAACGCGGATTGTAAGAAGTCCCTGGTTTTAGCACAGCATTGGTAGAATCCAGAAAGTTATCCAATAATTGATTCGCCAATGTGATCTAATTAAATTCTAAAAATAATGTGACAAATTCACCTCCAGCACTTCTGAACTGATAGGAAAGATTTGCCACAAAGTACATACACAATGCAGAAAAAAATATAGAAAATGGACACGTCAGTGTTCGACACGTGGCAACTATGAAAGTTACTGGCTACTTACCAAACTGAGAAATATCTTCTATGACCAGAAAACCGAGAGTGCTTGACGCACATTATCTATATAAGCTTGCTTGTTTTTATCCTGATTCCAAGTCGCAAGTCATAACCTTCTGACTACATTCTGTCATGTTTAGACAATGTGTGCAAAAGTTTCGAGTCTCTTAGTCATGGAATGAATGATAAGTTATGAGATACACAACGAATGTCAATAAATTAACCACAGAAAAAAAAAAGCGGGAGAATTCTTGAACTGTTCAGCTGATGGTTTCGTTATAATCTCTCCCTGAGTGTGGGCACGAGTAAGTTCTGATGACAAATCAAAACGCATTTTTTAGTTGAATAACCTTTCACAAGGATTTAGCAGATTCTACAAGGTTCCAGATGGCAGATTATCAGCTTGTCCAACCTCACGAAGAAAAAAGCCATATAAAAAGCAAGATTTAATGGATATAAGAACAAATCGACCCGAAAATTGGCCTCATCAAGACAGGAGGTAATAGAACAAGTTATGACGTTTAGATGGCCATTTTAAAACAAGAGCACTTGCAAAGTGACGACTGCGCTGCAGCAGCTGTGCAGATGCAAGAAAAAATATAGAGATGACACGGCTATAAACTAAAATACCTTCAATTTTCTGGGAAAGTTCTGAACACTCGAAAATGTTCAAAATGATGAAAGGAACATGGGGCACAGAAACATCGAACTGGAGAACGAATGAGCGAGAGAGAAAAGTTGAGGCGTAAAATTCGTGGCAGATGGTCGCGGCTGCATCTTGCACCTCAAAATTCGTCTATGCGGTAAATTTCTAGTCATTGCTTGTCGCCTTCGCAACTTGTTTAGTTTAGTAGCCTCGCATTATCTATTGCTTCCACTGCTAAGCACCAAGCCAGTAGTCTAGAAAAAGAATGCTGCGTAGGAGGGTTAAGGCATTTGCACTTATCAATCAAGTTGGTGCAAAGTTAGTGCGAATATTGCATTGCTATCGAATTTTTGGTTGCAGATACGCTGTCTCCAATAGAACTAGCGCGTCTCAAAAATCATTTTGTTCGCTTGTGAGCTGTAGGTCACAATTTTCAAAAATCTTTGTTTGAAAAATTTTTTGACTTCTGAGCACTGGTTTGGGCGCCATTAACAGAGCATTGTTTATGCCAAATCTGGTAGGAATGCTGTAAAGTCTGTTCTTTGAAACGTTTCGGTCATGGAGGACATTTGTGAGGACGCTCACGTTTTTCTGCTCGCTAGACGAGTATCCGGTTGCGCGGGGCAGTTCGTGGACCAGTCGGTTGTCTTGCAGTCCCGAACTGCACAATAATACCATCGCCACCTTCTTGCAGCATTCCCATGCTTTAGGACTGCTCAGTTTTCATCTCGGTTACTCTTGAAATTGGCATTGTGCAATTTTTGACCATACTGAAATAGCTGTCCTGACTCTAGCTGCGGAATACTGCATACATAGAATTGCTCAGCAATCAATTTCTGTTGATCCATCAAAATGTGTTTCAAAAGAAAGCGGGAACTGAATGCAAATTTCTCAAGCTTTTGTGCGTTCGAAAAAGCCGTTATATGCTACCAGCTTTTCAAAAAGTTTCTGGTCTGTCATAGTGTAGTACCTGTAATTTACTCATTTTTGGTATTTCATCCATGTTCTTCTTCAGTCTTGGATGGCCGAAACCAAGGATATTGCTCCTGGAACATATAGCCTTGAACTTGGCAAGACATTCACCGAACAACGTCGTACAGATGGACCTTCATATCATACGCTTCGCTGTGAGTCTTTTTGGTTTTCTTCACTGTAAGACAACTTTTATTACCTTCTGATTGATTTCTTCAGCAGCGTCCAAGATTGTACAGATATTTATTCCACAATAAACAGACTGACGTTTCGGCAAACTCGCCCTCTTCAGAGTCTGAAAAGTCGAAAACACATAAGTGAACTATCTGTTGCTTGTCTAGAGGGTTGGGCTCTTTTCTGTAGTCGATAAGGCATTTGATCGGATAGTTCACTTATGTGTTTTCGACTTTTCAGACTCTGAAGAAGTCGAGTTTGCTGAAACGTCAGTCTGTTCAATGTGGAATAAATATCTGTACCAATCTTGGACGCTGCTGAAGAAATCAATCAGAAGATTCAAACTATGCCAAGATTTATGGATAGTCGTACATGGATTCTGATGAACTTTTAATACCGTTTTTTCTTGTTCTTTGTTCTCTGAGGAAATCTCTTGCGTGTAAGCTTATCTCGAAAGTCGTAAAGGCCGCGAATTTAAGTTTGTAAAAAAATTGAGCTGGAAGTTGAGATGAGCATTTTTTAACAATTCTCACAATTTGTTCTTTAGATGACTTCAAGCCAATGTCCGTTGCTTCATCGGATTCTGATACATACATAGCTCTTGGAGCTAATGGAGATGTTCATGTAAGTTTTCCTTCTTTATTTGATTGACCACTTGTATAGTATTTGGTTCAGGTTGCCGTTCCAACAGAAGGAGAAAATATGACCGTTTTCAAGGGATCGAAGAAAGATGCTAAAGCAAAGGAGTGTTTGCTTTTTTTTGATAAGAAGACCGGGAAACTTCGTTTAGAAAAGATCAATTCGAATATTAACGTAAAAAAGACTCGGTAAGATTCTTGCGCCTATACTTCTTTTTTTTGGGATTGTTTGCCTGGGTGAAAAGCTCCATCATGACCACTTCGTTTTGATTTTTCCACTTTCTTTCTCAGAGATCTGGACCCATCAGTCGAGAGTGTGTTACGCTCGGAGATGGCTCGGTTGCGCACTGCACGAATAGATCGTCCGCCTCCTCCAGAGCCCAGGTATTGGCGAGTTTCGCATCTTCAGCATTGTACATCCGCAGTTTTGGCTCATGTTTTAGCAGCTCTTCCTTCCCTGGAGCCGATAGCAGTAGTTCTTCTGACTCTTCTAGCGACGATAGTGATAGCGACAGTGGCAGTGGGTCTGATGATGAGGTAGCCTTGATATCCTCCCTTTTCAAGTTATTAGTTGTCAAAACCTGACTCAACGTCAAGTTAAGATTTATCGATTGAAACCACTTTCTTTTGATTCCAGAGCAAACCCAAAACTGGAGGCGATTCCAATTCGAGCTCTGCAAACAGTGATGTTGAAAGTGTGTTCAATTGTTCTTCTTTTTTCAGCTTTACTCTTCCCTTTTTTAAACTTATCCTAGTTTCTTGTTCTAGGTCAGATATTGGAAAGCATGAAGGCTAGCGGACCAGCTCCAGCTCCGTTCAATGAAAGCATCGATATGCCGGCGTTGGATACTATTTCGCAGCCTCCACCTCCGCAACCTGTTCAGCAGAACAGTTATCAGTCCAGGTAGTAGATTCTCAAACATCAAAATTTCGAGTACCGTGATAATCTTTTCCCTGCGTATGACTTTTCTTATTTGTTTTGTTTTGTAACTTTTGTCCTTATGTTTACTCGTTTTTTCGTTCTACACAAGTGCAGCAAATTAGCGCTCTTTTTTGTCAAGCGAAAATATCTTTTATTCAACGGATCTTGTTCAACTGCATATACGTTTTTTTTATCTCGCTTTCCCTTCAGGCCACCTCCTCCGAAGACAGATCATGGAGACCTTGGTCTTAATCTAAGCGAAAGTTCTGATGATGACGAGTGAACTTGTGGATCATTATGGCTGGATTATTTTTCGATTGTGGCATTGTAATTTTTTGCTTATCTGCATTGATCTTTGGGCTGGTGGTAGAGTAATCGCAGCGCCGCGGAATTGGCTACTATTATTTGCAGACCAAACTTGTCCATTATGAAAATTTACAGTTATAGAGTACTGTAATAAATTGCCAAGAGTTCGTGGACCATACCATAGTGTTGAAGGTAATGAATGACATTCTTCGAAACTTTTTTTACTCAAAAATTAAGGCTAGAAGTAACCAAACTAAGGACATATCTCTACAAAACATAGTAATCAGTAAAACGATCGTCATCTCAACCTGTTTGTATCGGCATAACGAAATTTCTCCACGGTGCTGCAGTTACTATAGTTATTAACTTGGGCGTCTTTCTCTGGCTTCACGATTCTACGAATCTCATCATGGATTGTCCCAAATTTCTTTTGAATAGAGTCAACTGGCCAGATTTCTATCATGGTGATACATGTCAAGGGTATATGATTTATATATTGTTTACGTTTCAACTGCATTATCATATAGAAGGGATATGAATAAACGTTGAAGCCTTTACTTTCTGTTTTTTCTCAGTCGTTCTCCTGTATGTATTTTTTGACACAAATGGAGGTGTAGTAGGAGCATAGTAGTATGGTTCAAAAAAACGATACTCTAGGATCCTTATCTCAATAAAGCTTCAAATTAGAATCATTTCTGTGCATGGCATCTCCTTCACCAAAAACTGTCCGCGTAGATCGACTGCCTTTGCCGGTCACTATCAGCTTTATTCGTGCTAAAGCCAAAGAAGGCGAGACAGTTCGGATTGGAAACAAAGAATTTCCAACGGTACTAAATGCTTTTCAGTACTTTTATGGCAGCTATATTATCACATACTCGTAGATTTAAGGTAATATGTGTTGGACGCGTGGTGTCATGCCGTCCAGTACGAACACTGAATTCGTTGCAATATGTTGTTTGCGACTCTCCAGAAGGCAGTGTGACAATGAACCAAATCTCGGTGCTGCATCGTAATGAGGTAATTGCTCATAGATAGTGGCGCCTGTACGATTAACTATGCACCCTTTTCAACCTTTTTTAGAGGGATGTGGGAATAACTTTTTTTTTGCTGGATTTTGCTTATTTATGATTTTATCTGCTTTTCCTTTTTGACTGGCAGAGCATTTTCTATGGATAAAGCTTACTTTACCAAGAAGTGTATTTTCAAGTAAAATAGTCAACCTTTATAGTCATGTCCTCCAAAAGATTCCGATCGGCTATCACCGGGCACACCTGTGTTTATCTCTGGGAAACTCATTCGATTCAAAGGTGCGGTGGCAGTCCAGGCATCTTGTTTGAGAAAGGTAAGAATCTTTTTATCCATTATAAATTTCCTGAAGTTTTTATTTGAGTTAATCTGCCCCGAAGAGTATGACTGTATAAAGATGGAAGCATTTCTTGCAGTGCAATATCACATGAAGGTATTTCGAGTTTGATTTGATGTTAGTGTATCTGTATTTTGTTTTGTTCCAGAACCCTGCCATTCTGAACCCTATGCGACGTTCTCTGCAGGGTACTCCTCTTTCAAGAACGAGCTCGCCACTCACAACTCCTTCTCCCATTAGTGTCCCCCGTACAGCTCCCTCATCTGCTCCTGCTAAGCGTTTGATTTGTTCTACTCCTTCCAAACCGACTCCGAAAAGACCCAATGTTGCAAATGTCTCGACTCGTAGACCTATGAACTCTGCACCTGCTCAGGAAAGTTTGAGCACTGTGAAGACTGATACTGCAATTCAGAAGACATTGTCAAAGGAAGCTGGTAGTCAAGATTCATTCGAAGACGGTGTGTTTTTTGAAAGTTGAAGCATTTATTTTTACTCGTGGCTCGTTTTGGTTACTTAGATTCTTTATAAGTTTACATAGGACAGAAATTGATTTTTCTTGTAGAAAACTTGATCTCCATGGCTTTTTCTTCATTGTGCATCGAATCCGTCTTTTTTCATCACTTATGTGCAAGATCCTCTCAATAAACTCGCAGAGACTCAGGTGCAAATTCCATATCAGCTGAAGTTGACAAGTATGTAACTGCTTGCTTCCTAGTAGGAGCTGTTTTTCGTGAAGACAGGAAAGCCGGCATTGTCCATGGTGCCGGACCGGTTTGTGCCAGAACCAAGAACGGCAGGTTCGCCACCACCACGATAGCACTTATTCCGCAGAATAATTGCGACCACTGAAAACTGGTTGTTTAATGCTGTTGTTGAGCTCTTTGAATTACAGGTCATTTCATTGCGAGTGTCAAAGCGCCCAGCGACTGGCGTTCTCGCGTCCGCCACGTTTTGGCCGCCCGCGTTCGCGAGGTATCCTCTGGGTCTTTCTTCTCATCTGAGCAGTGGTTGAATGCTGGCGAGCGTGGGGAAGCGCCCAAAAGATACCGATGCGAACGCGGCGCAAGACCCGAGCGAGGCGGTCGCAATGACCGAAACCGATGGAGCTTTGGCAACTCGCACTGAAATAGCTCGTACCTGCTCGCGGGTGTTATCTGGGCAGACCAGGGTGACGACGAATGGTAGGAGCAATGTAATGACACAAGCGTTACATGAGACAACTGCCATAACAAAATGTGTATGTTGGCGAGCTCTCTGAAACTAGTGAAATAAGGCTTGAAATTGTCAAGTTGATGTTGAACTAAACATTCGGAACGGATTTTTTTACTGTCCAAAAAGTTGTGGTCGCACGAACGCAGGTAACATAAAGAATGCGTGCACCGCCGCGACGCGGCCTTCATTTCTTTGAAAAGCTATGGAAAAGCATAGAACACCGTTTATTGAACGAATACTCACCAACTGTGAGCATTTAACCGATCCAACAACATTGAAGCCACTGGAAACTATAGCAGCTGTATATGCGGTTTGGGCAACTGTTGGGGATGTTGTCTGAAAGAATTTGGCTACTCGATTATTTTTTCAAATTTGACTTGTTGTGTTCTAGGATGGCAAGGGAACGAGGCGGTGTCCCGGCGAAATCTCGCTCTCCAGTTTTTCACCTTTTCGTAGCATTCTCGTCATGCTGAACCCATCTTTAGACTTTGCAGCAATGAGAATGGCAGAAATGAGCTTTTTTTGAAGCTCTCCATGCCCGCATTCTCCACGAAATACGGTGGGCAGGGTCCGGAACGAGGGTGCGGGTTTGTGCGACTTCCAGTGGATTTTACGCTTTTCGGACGACGCTCCAGACTTCACTGATAGTTAAGTTAGGGGGTCCGACATTGCAGTGCTGTAAGGTCCTACCAATTATTTTGCCGCTGTTTTTGAAGTCACTGTCCGCCCAGATTCTCAACTTCCATGTTTTTGTCTTCCGGGGCCTTCCCATTCCCTGAATCCGATTATGAGGTCCGGGTTCCGCGAAACCTGACAATACCCGTTCCGGAGGACCGTGGGCCAGTTCTCCGGAATGGTGATCGGACGTGCCTTGGATGGGAGGGCATTACTGGAGGGGGCGGTGCCGCCTAGGGATCCTCGTACCTCTTCGTGATTCCGAAGCGATTTTCTCGCCTCCAAAGCGACATTCTGCGCCGCGACCTGGGCATCGTCGTGATGGCGGGAGGTCTTACTATCGTATGCTGCCAGATCAAGACTTCTAACTTAGGTGGACGGTGCGTTTAAGGTCTAGCTGAGTGTATCAAGGAATGAATTTCTTGCCTTCAACAGAATTCCATACTTTCCTTTGAAAAAAAACAGGAAACATGTGATGCCGCTGGACCAAATTGGCAAATCTATGCGTTTTCGATTATTTTCTAAAATTTCCTACACTTTGAGTCACTGGTCGAGGGAATGTGAATTGGGCGTGACTTTGACCGCTTTATTAAACACTACAATACCACCCGTAATTTGCGAAAAAAAATGGCGGCGGCACTTAACTTACGCGGCGCCGCCGAAGTTAGGTGACTTTTGCCGCGTCGCGCGACAAAAGTCGGCGGAAAAGCGGCAAAAGTCACCTAACTTTGTCGCGCAACGCCTAACTTTTTATAAAAAAAGACCTTATCTTGATTCAAAATTTATGAATTCTATATATAAGAGTACCATTCAACTCAGCTCGGCGAGGCGCATCTTCCAATATACGGATGTGCCTAGTTGTGGGATATAAGTTTCTTTCCTGGAATTTTAGTGTAAATGGACCATTCAGTGTGCTTATTCCAGAGGCTACGTACACATTCCATTGAGCACAGCAGAAATAGGGCAGGTATAGTTTAAGAGCTCATTCTGCATGGATATATGTGAAACTGGGCAGCTCATTCTGCATGGATATGTGTGAAAGTGGGCAGCTCATTCTGCATGGATATGTGTGAAAGTGGGCTTCTCTCGGCGAAGTATGACGGGTCCCAAAATGCAGGAAGACAAAGGGAAATGGTTGGAAATCGCATGAGAAGCACATATCGCGGAATGCCGCGCGTGCTGTGCAATGTACAATACCACTCACAGAACGGGAATTGCGCGAAATTCCAGAAATTTCGCGATTCCGGATTATCGTAAATTATGCAGCGCCATAACTTCCTTCGGAATTAATATATTCTAAATTCGAAAGCAGCACTGTGTTCATCTCGTCAAGGCGAATCTTTCTACATACGTCATGTCATCTATATCTTGTTTTCAGTTTTCTCAAATTGTTCTGAGGAGGTCCCTTTGCAAGTATGTAACGCAGCGCCTATCCAATTTGAAAGCTTCCAGTATGCACCATTCGATAGTGCTCTTCTTGTGCATTATAGTGCGCTAGTAAGCTGCCGCAGGCTTCTTTTCAAAAGAGAAAAAAGCGTTGGTAAATTCTGGAAAAATCACTCGTTTCCAGATTCTACTCGCCGTAACTTTCTTTGGAGTGGATATTTTCTAAATCCGAAAAATGCATTGTGCTCAGCTCATCAAGGCAAATCTTTCGGTATGCGGAATGTCCTTGATATCTCGATTTCAGTATTCTCAAAACTTTCTGCGGACGTTTCTTCGCAAAGGTGTGAAGCAGCGCGTATTGCCCCCAGTACATTCAGAAAGAAATTTTCGATAGTACTTCTTTTGTAGATTATGGAGCGCTGGAAAGTAGCCGCGTACTCCTTTTCAAAGGAGTTAGAAGGGCTGGTGAATTCTGGAAAAATCATGTCCTTCTAAATTTTTCTCAACGTAACTCTAAAATATGAAGCTCTCTTGCTAAGCAGATGTGATTTTCGTAACCAGCAGGTCGGATAACCCTTATGAGCAAGTTTTCCAAGATGTTCAAGTAATTTCATTTTTTCTCGTTTTACGCTCTGAAGCTGGCCGATGGATTTTGGTCAAAATGTTCATGCTCTTAAATTGTAAGGAAACTTCGCTTATAGAGGTTTTCGAACACGCTCTTTACGAAAATCGTGGTCCTTGAGGATTACAGGGTCTTTTTGGTGAGATACGGTGAGGTGACTGTAACTGCATCACGAAAGTGCGTAAATTGGCCCGCACTTCTCGCGTATCTGTCAGCAACCTTGCCTGCTTGCTTTTCTCAGTCAAAGTTACTAGGAACTGCGCTACCGAATGGTGCATGAATCAGGCTCCAGTCTGTAAAAAATCACCGAGTTACGAGCCTATGAAAACACGTCCTCATGGATTTTGCCCAAAATCTAAAGATGCAAATCTCGTCGAAGTTCCACCGTGAGCGCTTGTACAACACGCTGATCAAAATCTTTCGCGTCCTTAATGGATCTTATTGTGTTAGATTTAGTAGTTTGAGTTCTAGCCACTGAAATAGCTCTGATATTCAACTGAGTAGCTGAAGCATATGCAAGTACCATATTCAATACAGTGGGAGTTTTTGGGCGAAGCGAACACAATATCCGCAATGCGAGTGTCATACAAGCGCTCACGGAGGAATTTCGACGAGATATGCGATCTTTAGATTTTGGGCAAAATCCATGAGGACGTGTTTTCATAGGCTCGTAACTCGGTGATTTTTACAGACTGGAGCCTGATTCATGCACCATTCGGTAGCGCAGTTCCTAGTAACTTTGACTGAGAAAAGCAAGCAGGCAAGGTTGCTGACAGATACGCGAGAAGTGCGGGCCAATTTACGCACTTTCGTGATGCAGTTACAGTCACCTCACCGTATCTCACCAAAAAGACCCTGTAATCCTCAAGGACCACGATTTTCGTAAAGAGCGTGTTCGAAAACCTCTATAAGCGAAGTTTCCTTACAATTAGTACTCTGCGTTGATACCACTGCTT